TGCTAAAATTGGTTAACTTTAGCAATTTAATAGCTATTTAATTTGAAATAAATTTTAACTTATATTGAAATATATAGTGATTTATTTGTATTATAAATGTACTTTATTTGTAACATAAATGCATTTTTTGTGCTTTATATGTAATATAAATATATTATATCTGTATTTTATTTGTAACTATTAGTTTGAATTTCACATTGAATAAAGACTTCAATCTTGAACAAAATACAATCTATAGTAACCTTACAAGGTGTATTAAATTAATATACCTAGCGAATATTCATTGCAGACAGTAAATGGTGTGCACATTTGAATTTGTAAAATCCAATATTACAATATTTATCTGGTGCCTATTAATGATAGCAAATTTGTTTCGAATTTAAAAACTTTGATATATTAACATCAAATACGTTGAACAAATAATTAATTTAAAATTATATACCTTTGTAGTCTCTTAATATAGTCGTAATATTTTTGGTCTTTAAGTTGAATCTTAAAACATATACAGTTATTGTTAAAATCGCAATACAGTGGCCATCTGATAAATTTTATAAAATGAATTAATAGCTGTTAAATAAATAAGTTCTTTTAATCAAATTATTTTATTCTATAAGTAGTCATACTCTTATCTTTGCACCTTTTCAGTTCAAATGCTTGGCTTGACTCTTTTTAAACTATATCAATGCAAAAATGCATATATTAACAAAGTTAATAACAATATCATTTTAAGAAAATGAATTATCACCTAATCTTTCCACCTTCTGCATCTAAAATCTCTATGCCACGAGTAATAAAATATGCTTTTTTTTTTGACTTATATGTTGCACGCCTCTACATATCATTGTTAATTTCTTGAACTTCAAATCGTTTGACAGGATGACTTGCCACAATTACAATAATGGAATATGAAATGGATTGTATAAATTTTTAATATAATTAATTACAATATATGTATACGGCATATCGATATCTTATAGATAATTCAAATACCTGTGCTTCATCAAAATCTTATAATTGAACATGCTCATCCTAGCTTCACTAAAATATCTATTGGCAATGTCTGGAACAAATGAAATAGTAAACGCTATATACATTAATCCCATTCAGATTGTTTACTAATTGATAATAATTTAGTTGTACATACAGTACGTACGTATGTAAATCAGTTGCAAGTTACATACATTACATCCAATTGTCGTGCATTTTCCATATATGGTATTTTCATCTTGTGCTCTCACTATATAAAGTTATGGGTATTATTGTTTATGTACTACTATCTGGGTAGAAATTTTTTAATAGGATATAATATAAATGAAATTATAATAAAATAATTTAATAGAAAATTTTTACATACAAATAATATTTGCATATATAAGTATTCAGAAAAAGTTATACAGGTTTAAATTTCAAGAACAATATTGCTCCACTTAGTTTATCATGATGTATTTTGGTCCATTTAGAAAAATAATATACATTACGGTTTCAGAGGTAGAATGGATAGCGGCAAAAGTTTCCATTTAGAACATCTAAAGTCATTTTAGAAACGAAAAATATTAATCATTCAATTTCATTAAATATTTAAACAGATGCAAATTACACTTTAGTAATTCAAGGTAAAATTTCAACATTATTTTTTTTTTCTTTTCGAAATTATTATGGAACAAGCATTGTATCAACTTTCTTATAACAGAATCAAAATTCTGTCATTTATTAAAAAATTATATTAATAAGATTGTTATAATATAATTAATAACGAATTTACTTACCAATATTGAAATCACAATATATAGAATATATATCTTGCAAATTACAATTATATAATCATCAATGTTTCTTGTAACGTAGTATTCAAAGCTTCTATATAAAATAAAAATCCACTATTGCTGTACTGCCATTAATTAAGTATTAGTCATATAAATTAGAGTTTTATATTAATATCTTTTTTTTTAAAACAAATCAAAACTAAATAATGAAATAATATACTTAAATAGCTGTAAAAAAAAAATCATTCCTGAGATATTCATGATTTGAAGTGTCATGTTGTTGCAAAGAGCACCTTGCTTTACAATTGTGAATGAATAGGATATCTGGTGACCATGACACAATTAATATTGGATAAATTCTTTCTTGAGTATTGTTGTAAGTATATTGAAGATGATATATAGGATATTCTAATAAATCATCATATTTTTTAAGATCTTCTAACCAATTTAAATAAATGAAAACAAAAGTTTGATTATCATTCCATATATGTTTAATAATCCCTTTGATAATGTCGAATTCAGATTGTTGCTTATTAGGTAGTGTTGTTTCAACTATTTCGCCGACACCAAATTTAACATGTTGATAGTTACCGTTAGATTCTGTTATAAAATATGAAACATTTTGGTGGTAGCTTATTTTTGTATTTAATAAAGCTTGTTCCAATAAGAAATACAAAGAATATGCCCTCATTATATTTTCTAAAAATCCGTTAGTTCTAAGATTTGTGAAAATAAATCTGGCACTTTCAATTTCATATTTATTCCATCTCGTTCCGAGCTTAATTTCAGAACAATTGAAGTACGAAAAACTATCATTGTCAGCAAAATTATCTAAGTATAACCATATTTAATAAGATTTTATTTTTATTATAAAATATGCAGCATAAATAACGTTACCTTGATCATAGTCTTGTGAAGTATGTATTGAAAAGTTACTAACATCGATACACCATCCTGATAATAAATGGTGTAACCTTGGTTCAATGAATAGATCTTTAAATATAGATTGTATTGTCATATTGACATCTATCCCACCATCCATCAAATATCTTAAAGTTTGCAACATATTGATTTGCCGGAGTAATGTAAGTTCAAGATCATGTTTGTTTGTATGTGGTACAATCGATTTAAAAAATTCGATACACCATTTCTTTCATACCAACTGCCATATTAATGCATGTCGAATATTGGTGTGCATAATCTACTATATGCCGATTAATATGTAGGTTAGAAAGATTTTGAAAGTTATCTGGAAATAGCTTAAAATGATTTAAATATAAAACACAAAAAAAAATAAAATTAAATTCAAAAAAAAAAATAAAAAATAATAGCAATAATAAATAAAAAAAATACATTTATTAATATTTTAAGTTCCTTGTCCAATGCTTTTTGAAGCTGGAGATATTCATCTGCTCTATTAATAGCTAATAAGAAGGCCTTTTTGCTAGCTTTTGCAGAAAGTCCACAAGCCCGAATCAGATAATTTATAACCTCAGTTTGGTGAAAAAACCCTAAACGCACTTTTGTTTCTTCTAAAAAATTAGTCTTTACATCATTGGTTTTTAAAAAACATCTCAATATAAAAGGAAATATCATTAAAATCTGTAAAATATCTGATATCATAAATGAATGGCTATGTGAAATTGGATTTGGTAAATGTGATTATTTTGCTAGAACTTCGAAGTACTTCCAGTATTTAATTAAATTGTTTTCTCCTTGTGATGTTAAAATAAGACAAGTACAATCGAGAAGCCGCATTACTTTTCCTGCAATAGCATGATATATATTTTGAGGAGTATGTTGATGACGGTTATGAAGAATAAAATCTAGTGGACCTGGCAATAACCGTAATCCATATTGTGAACAAAGTTGTGATCGTGCCGTGTTTGTTAATTGTTCATTTATATTTTGAAATTCTAGAGTTGTTATTTGATGAAATCGACTATTGGAATATATATCAAATGACATATCAGTTAATTTATCCTTAGAAGCTTTACAGCTACGGCATCCTATATTAGCATTATGATGCAAAACACCCGCAATGTCATTTCCCTGTAGTAAGTCAGCTATAACCATAGCTAATCCACCTAAAATCTAACAATCAACACTATTTATATTCATAGTAAACCCTTGCTCTAGTTGGTATATTTCATCAATAAAAAATATTATAAAGTCTTTAAGATTTCCACCGAATAGCACTAATTCAATTATGAAATAATTTCTTAGCTGTTTTCTCAACTGTTGTGGCATATTTCCAACCTGTAAGTATATGCCACCCAACGAGTGGTAAGTGTTGCGAAAAGTACCAAAATCATCAATATATAGATCTAGATAAAATTTAAAGACTGGCATATTTGAATTTGGTGTAATTTAATGGGTATGCGTTCAGCTGGATGTTGATAGCATAATTTTATTGAGTGAAGCTTCTATCGACCATTATAATTATAAAGTATTTGATTTACAAAGAAATCAATTATAGATAGAGTGGGCTGATCTTTTAACCAAATACTAAGATGGCAAATTAATGACGAGGGTTCAATAAGGAAAGAATTAGATTTCTCAACCAAATATAGTTCTTGTGGTAAGTGTAAAACATGTCGTTTTGAGCTCAAATATTGTAAAGTTTGTCTATAAGAAAATAACCATTGAATTCTAACTATCATTTTTTTATTAACAATTATAAAGGATTGGATTCAGCCAATTTCTATAGTTTCTGAAGTTGATTTGTAATAAACAAAATTAAATAAATTTAAAAATAAAATTATTAAATAAAAATATATAGAAATATATAAAGCGTCTATCAGCAACCTTAAATAAAGGTAAAAAATATATATATCTTGTGCTGTTGATAAATTTGGTTGGCCAAAAAGAGGAGATTCGGCCCAGAGATCGCCCTCCCATAGTTCTTCACATGATTTTGAAAAGATGCCAGGCCCAAAATATAATTGGGAGCTAAGGGATGAATTTTTTAATATTTGTTGAAGGTGCTCTATTAAAGAAAAGTAGTAGACTCGTGTAGAATCTTTAATGGTTGAAGGGGTACTTTTAATATTTATTGGGACCATATAACTGTGAATTTTCATTAATGGTAACTGCTTGCACTGCTTTTTAAGACTTTGCAAATTAGTGGGTAAATGATTTATATCAAATTTAGGATAACGTAAAATTTGTACTAAATCGTAGTAGGCTGCAGTTGCTAAAAAAAAAAAAAAGAAAAAAAAAGATAAATAATTTTTTTTAAGTTTGAATCAAATTACAATACTTACAAGTCATGTACTTGGTGGCCCATATAAACATTGCAAGGTTTGTAAAATTATTAAAAGGCTCAAATAAGCATTCGTAATTTCTGAATTTTGTTCCATCAAATATCTTTGGTAAGTTGTCTATGTTAGTTGAGATTGATTCACTTTTATTATCTGAACTACAATCAACATTGATATTAAATTCATTTTCACTACATATAGATATATCTTCTGAATTATCATAAATCAAATCGTTAGTCAAATTCTTGACCAAGGTCCAAATCTGTATTCTGTTCAGACTGTTGATCGTCACTAAAAATTTGGTTACACTGGTTAGACTGTAAGTCATTATTATTATTAGTATGTTGTTAGCCATTATAGTTGTTATCCTGCGTATTTATATAATTCAAGCCAGTATTGCTATGATCCAAGTTACTATTAAATTTAAAATCATCTAAAGAAGTTTTCTTGACATGCAGATGTATATTGTAGAACTGTTGCAGTATACTTTTCTTAAACCTATTTCTAAGTACAAACATGACACCATATGTATAAAGAAGAAATTGGAACGAAAAACCAATTATGGAAACAAGATCTGAGGGTTTGAAAAAAAAACAGTATAAGGGTAAGTTCGTGCATTTTCTCAAGAATTTGAATACCGTATTACTGCAGAATAGCGCACATAGGCGTTATTTCGAAAATCGCATTCCCTTAAAATAGTATACTTGGCTTCAAAATAACGCCCATGCACGTCCCGAAATTGCATGCACCTTATATAGTATACTGTATCTCTTAAATTGTTTTGCAGCCAAATTTGCCTGCAAACTTTTTTAAATTTTAAAATTTTTTAATAAAATTT